TCGGTCGTACCTTGTGATGGTTCGCGCAGTCTCATCTTTATCATTCCGATATTCTGCATAGCAGACGAAGTTGAAACTGATGACTGCGTGATCACTGCGACCCAACGGGCAGTCTAAAACCAACGCATCAATCATATGCTCTTCGTTGGTAAGCACAAGATCCAACACAGATGGCCGGTTACCAGTTCTGAACCGAGTGGGCAAAGTGATGTGGTTGTAAAGAGGAGCAGTAGTTACTAGATCTTGTAAATCGATTTTGAATTGTTCGCCGGTTGTGGCAGGGGCTTCTAAACAATGTACGTTGAAATCACCCATGATAAGAATGTGAGTGTACTTTGGTTGCAAACTGCACATTAAAGCAGCCATTAGGTGGTAGTCGGTTTCGGGTGTTGAGTAAGGGGCGCGGTACACCAAGAGAATAAGGCAAGCGTCCCTACCTTTTAACTGCAACCGGCACCAAAGAGAGTCGGGGAACTGCGAATCTGAATCCTCCACGGCTTCGCACTGTAAGTCGTTTCGGTAGTACAGGATTACCCCTCCTCCTTTTGTGAGCCTATCGTTCCGGATCAACGACATGCCGGGTAGCGACACTTCAGCGTCCGTCATTCCCGTGTGCAACCATGTCTCGGTGATACCAATGACATCATACGAGCCGGAAGCTTGGCGATCTTTCAGTTCAGCCAGTTTGTTAGAAAGTCCCTGAGCATTCGTATACAAGCAGGCCAGTTTCTCGGTCTCTAGGAGCCCGCAGAGAGGTGAAGCTGTCAAGTGTGGGAGAATGCCGACCGATGGGAGGTCGGCAGTTATTCGTTTTTTTGATGGGTCAATGATACCTCGTTTGCAACTTGATTCGGCCAAGGTGCGTCCCAGCCTTCGTTTAAACCTACTTCAGAGTCAATTAAAGCAGCAGTCAAGTTACACTTCTGTACATCCGTCGGTATGCTTGCTGCTTCAGTTGCTTTAATACTTGAGCTGTGCGAATTGTTTGCGACCTTTAACCGAATTTCGGAAGGAAGATGTTTCCGATTTCTTCGCCATCGATCCAAAACATCCTTTGCTTGTTGCTCTGACCGAACCACAAGTTTTAGGATTCTAGGTCCGCATCCTCTATAATTCGATGAGAGAGGTATCCTAGTGAGCGATAGTGCCACAACATCATCCAAAGAAAGTGTTTCACGAATGAACCGCCACTGTTCTAAATCGTGCTTTCCGGTATCTTGAACATGGTTAGAAGGATGTTCTGGCACTCCATGTATGAAGACTGTGTTTAGGCGGTCTTGCTTGCTGTGCCCCTCTTCGATGTTTCTTTTTGATTGTCGCGCGCTCCAAGGGACATCAGGATAGATACGTATCCCACAGGATTCGTGTTTTAGCGCGCTTGCGGAGAGCAAAACATTTTCCACGTCGGTTGAGGATTCTAGAGTTACTCGAATAAGTCTGGGTTCACCATAGTGTGGCGAGTTCGGATGACGAGTAATTCGTAACAAGTTTACGGGCTTGGCTTTGATACTCATCTGCATACACAATGAGTTCCATTGGTCTTGGTCGTCTGATAACTTATCCCGCAATGTGATGGCGGTAGATTCAGGAACATTTGAGCATACGACAGTCCGGGCACTGTTGTTGGATCCCTTTTTAATCGATCTACAAGGTATGGTACTCATTTGTCTTGACTTGTTGATAAGTGATTGTTTGCTGTTTTTCTCTCCATTTGCGTTAACGATGTTTACAATGGAAGAGGACGCAACGGCGGCCTCTCGGTGGACCCTTGCAGCAATCTCTGCATATGTAACCGATGTTCTGGGAGGCTTAGTCTCGACAAGAGATATTTGAGCTACAGGTACCAAGGGTTGGTGTTTGGCTGCTCCATCCTTGGTAATACTAGATGTCAGGTCTAGTGGAATTTGCTTAACCAGACGTTTTGAATGGTGCCTGATTTTCTTTGCTGTGAGTACTGCTTGATTCACGTAGGTACAGTCTGTTTTCGCCCGGCGTTCTACCAAAGTTGGAGAAGACAACGGAGATGGAGACATGGCTGATTGCGGTGCAGGCGAAGCGATTTGTTCAGCATTCCGTTGCTTAGCAGCCGCTACGCCTCTGTGGTCCATACTCGCTCCCATTGAAGTAATCTCATTGTTTATCCTCTGCTCTGCTTCTGCGATTAACCGGTCGCAGATCTCAGCTAGAATAAGCAAGCACTTAACCAGGGGGATGGTGGAACACGCAGTACAGAACCAAAATGCATCTTGGGAGCTATTTCGCTCCCGTAACTGTTGTTGGGACACATTTGCACATTTCGTATGGTACCATGCTAAACAGTGCGAACAAGCCAGACCGATTTTTACTACCCGATGACATTCTCCTAACCCGCAAATGCCTTTCGATGGGAGTCTCTTCGGTTTCGCCTTTCTGCCATTCAATTCGGTCTCGTTACCTGACCCAGTGGGTTGGTTAGCGTTCTGTACTTTTACAGCTTTGCGAGCGGCGCACATCAGTCAGGCGAGCGTGGTGGTTGCAAGGTCAAATGAGCGGTCGGCGTGGTCGCGCGGTCCGTGTGAAGGGTAATGCAGCCGCACTGGCTGACAAGGTCACAAGGAATGGCGAGTGACTGGAACCTGAACAGAGCGCTGAACAAAGATTGACAGATCACAGATTCTTTCACAGCTGTGTTGAGAAACACTGGATCGGAGTAAGCTTAGGCTTTTCGGCCTGCCTCGAGAATTCTGTATCGAATGGTGTCACACAGAATGGCAATCGGCTCAATACGATTGAGTTAAACGCTTGCGCTTAATCACAGATGCCAGTGAAAAACGCTTATTGATGGCACAGCTTCTAATCGGAGAAGATATTTCCACGTATGATGGATCACTGTGTAGAGCTGGTAAATCCGGTTCGAATGAGCGTACAGTGACAACGCTGCGAGAAGATGGAGAGAGGATAGAGGGAAATAATCCAAATGAACCAGTAGCACGCACGGCACGCGTGTGTGAGGATGACCTTGTGTCTGTGTGTCCTGACCTTGTGTCTGTGTGTCCGCGGAAGCTATCGCACACTACGATACTACCTGATTGTGGCATACTTAATTCTGCCATACCCACATCATGTGTGTCACCCTTTACTTCAACTCAGCGGGGGCCACCCACTGAAACTCGCTGTACAGTATAGCCGCCTAGAGTGCCGCAGAAATTTCTTTGCCATTCATGCATGTCACCCGTGGAATGCTCCCCCAGAATCAGTCGTCTCTGGACCGACACTAGGTATATTTAAAAGAAGGTTGGCTGACGCACTCATCTACTTACATTTTGTGACAGCGCTACATCTCCAACCCATACCTGGAGTTAACCATGGATTTATTTGATGTTAAGTATGGGTGCTGCGAATCTAAGAGGGTTGTAGGACCACAGCGGAGCAAACGATAAGTCCCTATGTTCATATTTGAAGTAGTAACTGTTTTACTATCATTAGTAGCATCATAGCCATTTCGCTATCCCCGCCAACCATCCAACTGGACTTGTAAAGTAAAGTCTATTAGCCCGTATAAATTCACGGTTCACCGTTCATGGTAAACCATCAGCTTCGTGTGAACGGTAAGTTGGTGGCTGTTCCACACTCGGTACTCAAGCTTCCCGACGAGGATACGAAGCTCAATGTGAAGCTGCTGATCAGTCGACATCACACTCTAAAGGCAGCAGAAGCGGGAGGTGGTTTCTAATACTTCAAGCCCAGGACCGGTTTTCAACAATATTGAAGACTGAACCTCCGGTGAAGACTGAAAGAGAAAGACAGTTTATCTTGGCCGCTTTTGAATCCAGAGCGTTATCATGTGCTGCAACTCATCCGCGCTGTGTGGGAATAACGCACAGTCGTCAGCAAACAGCATATATATATATATATATATATATATATATATATATATATATATATATATATATAGGTGTGTTGCCGAGCATCCGTCGTTTCGGTGCCGGAACCCTAGACTGTGAGACAACTATCCGTATGTTGCTGTTTACGAAAGACTGTGCGTTGTTTATACATATATAGTGCCCCATGCTGAGGCTGATGTGACATTCATGATGCTTCTTCACCGCAGTTAAGCTAAACCAACGTACACTTAAAATAGGTCATTTTAGTGTGGATAAAATTCGTTCCACGTTATTTGGTTGGTTCTGCGTACTTGATAAGCGTCTCCCAACTTGCACACGTCGCTCATGCAAATTGCGGTAAACTTGCGTAATTTTATCACGTGGCATTTTTTATAAGGCTTTCGGACATTTTGCACTTGTCGCGGATGCCCTTATAAACAATTTCCTCCATTTGTTTATTTAGTGAGAATTTATGTCGTCATATGCGTTTACTTTATTTGATATCGGCAGTTCGAGTGATTGGCTGTTGTTTGACATCCCACATGTGGCTGCGCTTGATGTGCAGGTTGACAAGGTGCCTACCTGCCTATTATCCACTACCTCGTCTATACTGGATCCAGGAGGCATTTGGCCGTTGCTGGGGGACGGGGTGCATGGTCCTTGTGGTTGCGCCAGGCTCGAAGAGTGGTTTCATGCACTCAGTGTGGATGGGACTACGGTCCAGCCACCGCCTTGTCTACACTTGATTTCCAAAGGCAGCTTGTTTGTGTTTGCCTGTGAAGGAGTGTGGGTCGGCTCCGTTGATGAAACGTGGCTCACATCCACATGCCTCGTGGTGTTAATCCTTCGCGTTTACACTGGATATGTGGTGTGTGTTTGATCTGTGGGCAATGCAGCGCTAGTCACCCATGGCCCCTCTGTAGACGCAGGCGTCCTGTGGCTGGTCACGGTGACAGGTAAATGCAAAACCGGATGCCCTTAACTATATAGTTGGTTGCTGATGTGCCGCTGACTTTCCTTATGGGATGCAACTCAAAAGTGGAATTTACTGCTTTTACGACCTTGCAGGTGTGAAGTTAGGCTTCTGAGTTCAGTCCAATGAAAGAGACTGAAAAAATCCAACGGGTATGAACTTACCTAGCATCGCTTTTGCCGGTGAATTATGAGGAAGCCAGAAGACCACCAAAGTGAGAAGCGAAAGCAGGATGCATGGGGCGACAAGAAGGAACAGATGGAAGCTCGGGTTTCGGTACAAGCGGATGAGATAACGAAGCACAGTGTAGTGACGTTCCAACTTCACGTTACCAACCGTCGTGAAACGTGGACGGTAGTCTTCACCAAACGAATCTGTGGGAGTTGGAATGAGCCAGAATGAATTCCGAATGCTGGTACAGGATTCAAGGAAGAGGAACTTAGATCTCGACGTGAGGTTAAGGTAACAAAGCCGAAGTTTATGAATTGTTGGTTCGCTTTCCCATGAAATCTACTTGTGCAAACGGTCCTGTGTCACCCAATGCTTTCAGTTATTCAACCCGCCTAATCAGGCCATGGGCGATATTTACTGGATACATCCGTAGCGTAACCGCGTTCTGAAATTCCTGGCTTAAAATCTACACTTATCCTTCAAGTATACTGCAGTTGTTGACTGAAGTTTCATTAACTGAAGAAGTAAAACTGTTCTAGTTCATTCTTGCAAATATTTGTAGTCCTCTTATGAAACCTTGCATAATCATTAGTCTGTGGTGCTATAGAGATAATGAAGGGTATATAAATAAATAATTAGATGTTATATTCCTCGGTGATTCGAGGTGCAGTCAACTTATGTGGTCTGATCAATGTGTACAACAGGATCGCAAAAAATAATGAATTTGCTCACGCTTTTTATAGTGGATTCAAAACAGTTATTAAAGTAATTGGCAGGATTAAGGTATTAAAGAAATTAAAAACCAGGAACAGTAACGTATGCAAATTTAAACAGCTTTCCAGTTAAAGTAAGGTGGCCACTCGTGGAACCGTCCCCAGGGGACCCGCTTCCATGCAACTTATTCCCTCGTAAGGTTTCTCCCGCACTTCCATGCTATACCTGGCCGTGTGCCGGTGTGGCATAGTAGCATAAGGGCAATCACCTGATGAAACAGTTGCAACCGTACATGTGATACGAAAACTTTGTGTTGATCAATGGCTTTCCTATGTGTCTTAGAGATCGTTAAACTCTAGTTCAAAAGATTAATCAAGAGCTAAGCAAGTGGAATACCAAGATATTTGAGTCAATAAAAAAGAACTGAAAAATGAAGGTGAGTCAGCTAGGAAAAAGGAAAGGTTTGCTGTTGCCACCCAAGAGCATCGAGCTGGCGCGCAAAACCCTTAACCGTAGGTTCCCTAACCACGTGATCTGGAAGAGAATTCCAGCGATCTATAACTCGGCGCGATAGACGAGTTTCCGTCCTAATCCTATCAGACCGTGGTTTATGCAGTTTCAGTGGGTGACCGCGGAGACTAGGTAACGTAGCGGGACTAAAAAGCCCTGACAAGTCCGGGCCAATCTTACCCGTCAAAATACGATAAGTGAGAATCAGGTCCCCTCTTATCCTTCGGTAGTGCATGGAGTACATACCCAAACTGAGCAAGCGTTCAGGATACGTCTGTCCCCGTAGACCCTGCACTAACCGAGTGCCCACTCGTAACACCCTCTCCAAGTCCATTTTGTCTCGGTTAAGACATGGTGGACAAGCCTGAATACAATATTCCAGGTGGGGTCGGACGAATGCCGAAAATAGCTTCACAAACAACTTGGCCGTTAAGATTCCGAAAGAGCGGCGGATAAACCACATCATACGAAACCCTCGACAAGCAGCCTTCTTCCAGTTGTCTCCAGAATGAAGTGCTGATGCGTGTACGACTCCTAAATCAACCTGCTGAGTGACAACAGGGAGTTCACCACCGCCGAGAACATATCGGGTGGGAGGATTAGCAGCTCCGATTCGGAGAACAGAGCACTTGGCCCTATTTATGGGCATCAACCATAAGATAGACCATTCCCAGAGTCTATCCAAGGCACGCTGAATTGCCTCAGGACCCCCCGGGATATCCACAATATTCCAGAGCTTAAGGTCGTCAGCAAACATTAATGATGACACCCCTAGCTCTCCCGGCAAGTCATTTACATAGATCGCGAACAACAATGGCCCCAATACCGAGCCCTGCGGAACGCCACTAAGGACAGCTTGCCTGAGCGAAAGGCTACGCCCCACCCGTACGCACTGTTCCCTCCCCTCAAGGAAGGCAGACACCCATTGAAGGGCGCGACCAGATATCCCGTAAGATCTCAACTTTAGTGAGAGCCGAAGATGTGGAACAGTGTCAAAAGCTTTCGAAAAATCTACGAATAGCACGTCTACAGCGTGGCCACTGTCTACCGCTTCGGCCCAGCTTTCACGAGCTACAAGTAAATTAGTCTGACATGAAAATCCTTTGCGGAATCCATGTTGTGCAACACTGAGAAGGTTGAATCGATTCAGGTGGTTCTCCACTGAATCCCTTATCAGCTTCTCGAACAACTTGACTACTACGCTTGTCAAACTGACAGGCCGGTAGTTCGCGGGTAGAGCGCTGTCACCGCCCTTAAAAATCGGACAGATGATTGCCTCCTTCCATTCCGAAGGTAGGCTGCAGCTGTCCAGCGATATTGAAAATACGCACGTGAGCGGACCACTCAGCTCAGTGGCCAGTTCATGCAACAGCTTCGGATGAATTGAATCAGGACCGGAAGCTTTAGAGGGATTAATGCCTTGCAGTAGCTCGAAGACCTGAGTCTCCGTTATGCTAAATTCAGCTAAGCAAGAATCCTCTGGAACTCTTGAAACCAATTCAACCTGCGGTAAAGAGGTCTCCCGAGCAAAGACCGCAGTATACTGATCACTCAGTATACAAGCCTTGTCATAGTCAGTTTGCGCAGGGGTCCCGTCTGCTCGCAATAAAGCTGGTATAGACAATTTTGCCCCGCTGCGTCTTTTAACGTAAGCAAAAAACTTCTTGGGATTAGCTGCGGCCGAGTCCGCTAAACCCTGCTCGTATTGGAGACGAGCAGTTCTGAGATGTTGCTTACATTTATTTCTATTCTCTCGATAACTATCATAGGTACTGGCTGATGGAGCTGCTTGGTAGGTTCGCCAGCATCTAGACCGTTTCTTGAGTAGGTACTTGCCTGTGGTATCTATCCATGGAGGCTGTGCCCTTAACCCTCTTTTCCTAATGAGTGGAATATAGGGTGCGGAAACCTCCGTAAGGTATGCCTTAAATTTATCCCAGGCTAACTGGACAGAGTCAGCCATCGAAATCTCACAGTTCAGAACTGAAGCCTTAGTTCGCATTGCACTAAAGTCCGCCCGCCAAATATTCGGAAGTAATTCAACAGCGGTCTCTTGGTGCCTTGAAAGAGCACATCGAAAGGATATGCATGCGTGATCGCTGGACCCTAGAGGTGCACCGCATGAAACGTCAGTCACGAAGTCCAGGGACTTAGCGAAAACCAAATCCAAAGTAGATGGCATTTGGTTGTCCATATACCTAGTGGGAAAGTCAACGAACTGGTGCAAAGGCACTTGGAGAGTCAGTTCAAGGAAGTCTGCACCGAATGTTCCTAATGCCGAATTGCAAGAAAGATCGGCCCAACAGACTTCCGGGAGGTTGAAATCCCCTAGAACTAAACACTTATTCGCAGACTGAGTGCGAATAAAGTCAAGTATCCCCCTGGAGGAACTTCCAGGACTTCTGTATACCACTATAACTGTAAACTGGGTAGAGGAAGTGCACAAAACAGCCGATAGGGCTTCAACAGTCTGATCCGACGACTGGAATGTGCAAGTCCTCAACACATCTAAGTTACAGCTCACATACAGTACAACGCCTCCGCCTTGGCGACCAACGGAGCGATCAGTTCTAAGCAGCGCGTAGCCAGGTAAATATACCTCACCGTCCGTGATATCCGGAGACAACCACGTCTCAGTGAAAGCAAGTATGTCGGGACGAGATTTGTCTACAAGTAGACCCAACTCGTGCACCTTGTTCCTTAGGCTACGCACGTTGCTAAGTACTACCTCAAGGAAGTCGGCACGACCATCCCTGGGTCGTGCGCCATCAGGATTGGTTCTGATAGGGCGGAAAGTAATTTCCGGCTGACCACCTGAAAACCCACCAGACGGAGGCCTTGTTCACCAGCCGCCCGTCTAGTTTTGAGGTCTTTGATAGCCTCCTTTAACTTCAACCTATCTGCCAGTGGGAGGTCCGGCTGAACGCTGACACCACTACCCTTAAGTTTGAATGGACGAGTAGTAAAATACCAATAGCTTGTACAAAGCTATATTTGCTGGTTGTTTGGAATGTTGCCACTTGGGCATCCGCATGGCCCGGACTAGCAATCCGGGTTGTTAGAGGAACAGGGGCACAGCACAGTGAAATATCGGGACCGGGTATGCGTAGGATTCCGCCGTATCAGTTGGATATGCCATGTGCTCTGTCGCACCAGTTCGGCCACGATGGGTTTCGCGCGGTGAATTCGGCGGCAGCATTGGACATGGCAGGGTACACAACCGTTGTGTTGCGACCTAACGTTAACTCGGACCAGAACTGCAAAACAATGTGAAGCTGCCATCACTAATACATAGAAATTGGGTCACACTCCACGGACCCGTGGTAGCTCAGTTGGTAGAGCGGAGGACTGTAGTGTGAGCAGTGATCCTTAGGTCGGTGGTTCGAGTCCGCCCCACGGGACACTTTTCGCCCTTTCAGGATGAAACCCGACGTGTACCCGGGCGATGTGTCTTCGTGCACAGGTCCCTACCCACAGCACAGTTTGGCATAGCTGGTGCCCCTCGGTGACGGCTTGCGGCGTCGTACTCAGCATCCTTTGAAGCGGGAATCATCAAGTGAACCTGGGTAGCTTCGCTGGTTCTGTCAATGAGGGAATGCACGTATATTCATGCTGGTTTCGTGGGGTAATTTTTGATGACACTGTTACGTTGTCACACATGCGTGTATCTACCAGCCCTAGCCTTCTGTGTTTTTCACACACCTAAAAGCCAGAAAGCGGGCCAGTTAAATAAGACATGTAGTCCCTTGGCTACTATATTTGGTTACTCATGAGTAGCACGAAATTCAGTATATAAGCAACCGATATCTTTCAGTTGTCACTGGTTTTGTGCGGTGGTATTGTACCCAAAGGCGCGCTCGACGGCGCAGTCTGGTGCGCCGTGGTTCGTTCGAGGACTCAGCTGGCTTCATAACAAATGTTACACATGAGTTTCTTCCTGCAACGG